TTCCATAAGGTGACTGAAAATGTCAATGCAGGACATGATTGGACTGTCAGCAAGAACACTCTGTTCAGAATTACATAGCGAGATATCTCCATTACAGCTGCAAGGTGGTTCAGTGGTTAGCACTGTTGCCTCACAGCTAGAAGGTTGCTGGTTTGTGTCCCGGTGAGGACACCCGGGATCTTTCTGTGTGGAGTCTCCATGTTCTCTCCGTGCAGCGTGGGTTCTCTCCGGGTTCTCCGACTTCCTCCCACAGTCCAGATTGGTGATTCTAAATTGTCCGTAGGTGTGACTTGGTTGTCTGTCTCTAAGTGTAGCCACTTGAAGCCACCAGTCGAAGCCATCTGCCTCACGAGGGTGGTGGGGGCCTGGAGTCTATCCCAGCTGACTCAGGGTGAAGGCAGGTGGGGAGGAAGAACCTGGAGAGAACCCACGCTGCACGGGGAGAACATCCTCGCAGAAAGATCCTGGGTGTCCTCAGCGGGACGCGAACCAGCGACCTTCGTGCTCCAAGGCAACGGTGCTAACCACTGAGCCACTGTGCAGCACACTGGTCGACAGAGATGTGGAAAAACAGTGATCCCGTCAGATGAGTCGTCTTTCATCAGATTCTTGACACGTATGTGAGTTTATGTGTGGCGTACATCAGGAGACCAGTCCAGGTCTGAATGCTTGACCCAGCTGAACACTGATCAATGCGTCAGACGCCACCACCATCAAAACATCAAATGAGGAAACATCTTTCGGAAGAATGATGTTTATCAGAGACTCAATGGATGCCAGTCATAAATGCCAAGGAGGAAGGAAACTTTTCTTTGACTGCATGAGGTGACCCGACACTTCACTACAACAATTTAGGATGCTTTTTCCTTTCATTTGCCACCTGTCTGTTTAAAATGTATCTTGATAATCATCTCACATTAAGCAAAACTGAGTGCCTCTGAATTTGTAGAGCAAGACATCTGAACCACACTACTGAGTACATTCTGACCACATGGCTCGATGTGTCGCTGTCTCTCACCTCTATCATCTCTACAGGTTCATTTGATTCGGTGACGTGGCTCAAGGACTTCTTCCTCCTGGAATGAAACCAAAAGCAAAGCAATCAAGGTTTAAAAGTAAATCTTTGAATGGGAAGGTAAAAGACTGATAATGGATTTTTCGTTGTTTTACCTTATCCAAAGAACCAAAGCAAGCACAGAGATCAGAATCAGGACCACCAAAGTTAACCTGATGACATTTGGTATTAATGCCGTTTTCCCTGCAAAGGAAGAGGTACAGATATGAGGCCTATTGTATCTTCATCAGCCTGCTAAGTGATAATGTACGTTTATCGGCCAGTTGGTGGGTCGTCATCACTGTCGAAAGAGATTCAAGATGTCCTTGCAGTTAAAGGGGATTTTCAGTGCACCAACGTTGGTTGCATTTGACGTTAAATAAAAATATTTACCTACCAACAGTCAGATGTAAGGTGGAGTTACGACGTCCTCTGGTGTTCTGGACTTCACAGTAATAACTCCCACTGTGTTCAGCTCTGAAGTCAGTGATGGTGAAGATCTGTCCTGATGCTGTTGGTGAGTCTTCATCCTCCTTGTACCAGGTGTACGTAGCTGCTGGGTTAGCATCACTGCTGCAGGTCAGATTCACTGAACTTCCCTCCACTATCTCAGCAGAGGGACTCACTGACACAGAGGGAGGCTTTGGAGCATCTGGAGGAACAACATGAATACCTTCTCAGTCACTTCAAAGCTGTCCTGGAAGCTTCTGGTTCAGTGTTACCGATACAGTGTAGTGACAGACGTCATTACAAATGGACATTCATTCTACTTTCCTAAACAGAACAAACAGTGTTTACATGTATTTTTAAACCCAGCTGACTTGCTGGTGTTTACTTACACAGGACATCTAGGAATAAAAACACAGGTTGCTCATCTTCAGACTTGCAGGAGTACATTCCTCTGTCCTCAGAGCTGATGGAGGTGAAGTGATAAATTCCTGCTGATCCTAGAGACAGAGTTTGGTTCCCCTTGTACAAAGTAGTTTTAGCTGCTGGGTTAGCATCAGTGCGACAGGTCAGATTCAGTGAACTTCCCTCCACTATCTCCCCAGAGGAGCTCACTGACACAGAGGGAAGCTTTAAAGGATCTGGAGATTGATGCAGAGAGTTGTTCAGATGAACATAAAGTATATTCTACATAGTTGATGACCACATCTCACACACTACAAGCAGCGCACTGTCTGGTTACTTTGGGCAAAACTTTGACATTTTCTTGATGACACAGTGAAGTGAACTCACACACTGAAGCAGAGCGGTGATCCTCTTGCCCCTTGAAAGCACAGGAGATGGTGTCTCCTGGATAAAAGGAGTCCNAGTGCCTATAAAAGTATGAATCTTCTACTTTGAACGTGTTACTTTTTGTTATTTTTCAACACTGAATCATGCTCAATCTCATTTGGCTGTCTGACAAGAATTTACAAAAAAAAGGCTCTTTTATGTCAAAGTGAAAACAGATTTCTACAAAGTGATGCCAATTAATTAATAATAAGTATTCACCACCTTTATCTGACTCACCTGATTCAACACAGGTGCAGCCAGCTGGAGGTAGAAGTCATACAAGTAGTGAAATGAAGATCACGTGAGTGGACTAAATATGTCTCAAGTGATTCTCCTGTTAGGACGCCTGTAGGTGGAAGGTCCAGTCACTGGTGAATCAGTACTCCTGGATATAACTACACCATGCAGACAAAGGAATGCTCCATGCAACACTTAAAAAAGTTTTTTGAAAAGCACAAGTCAGATGGTTAGCCAAGAAAATGTCCAAGTCACTGAATATCCCTCAGAGTACATTAAATCCATCATTAAGAAATGGAAGGGATACGACACAATGTGAATCTGCCTGGAGAAAAACTGAGATGAGCAAGGGAGGCCACCGAGACTCCCATGACTTCTCTGAAGGAGTCACAAGTAAGAGACCAGTGAGGGAGGCCACCGAGACTCCTTTGACTTCTCTATGGGCGTGACAAGCTTCAGTGGTTGAGCTGGGAGAGACCGTGCATACAACTACTGCACCAGTCAAAGCTTAATAACAGCATAATAAATCTTGGCTAGAGTTTGCCAGAAGGCATGTGGGGGACTCTGAAATCAAGTGGATAAAGATCTACTGGTCTGATGAGACTTTTGGCCACCCTACCGCCATGTTAGGTGGACACCAAACACTGTACAACATCACAAACCCCATTGTGAAGCACAGTGGGGGCAGCTTCTCAGCAACAGACTCTTGGAAAGGCTTCTACAGTTATAATGTAGAATGAATGCTGTGGAGTATAGCAAGAGGACTGCAACCTGTAGGAAGATTTGTTTTCCAGCAAGACAACGACTGGCTGGACTTGAAATGGGATGTTTACTCACAGTCCCCCTGCAGCTTGACAGAGTTTGAGCAGTTTTGCAAAGAACATCGACCATGATTCAGTGTTGAAAAGCAACACAAAGGCAACAACGCCAATGGGGGTGAATGCGTTTTACAGGCGCTCCATGTGAGGATTCCTTATAGTGTCGATTCTATGTCATGTGCAACTCACTTGATACAACAGTCAGATGTAAGGTGGAGTTATGACGTCCTCTGGTGTTCTGGACTTCACAGTAATAGTTCCCTTTGTGTTCAGCTCTGAAGTCAGGGATGGTGAAGATCTGTCCTGATGCTTTTGGTGAGTCTTCATCCTCCTTGTACCAGGTGTACGTAGCTGCTGGGTTAGCATCAGTGCTGCAGGTCAGATTCAGTGAACTTCCCTCCACTATCTCCGCAGAGGGGCTCACTGACACAGAGGGAAGCTTTGAAGGATCTGGAGATTGATGCAGATAGTTGTTCAGATGAACATAAAGTATATCCTACATAGTTGATGACCATTATTTTTATAAACTAAATCAGACTTGCAGAGACATAACTGTTAACACTTAATACCATGCGTTAATGCTTTATCGTTATTTATTTTTCTTAAAGTAGGTAGTATTTTATAAGCAGACATAGTGCTAATTGTGAAGGTAAAAGGAAGGTTTACACCTTATTCAAGCCCATTTTCATTCTGTCCCTAAATCAATGATAAATAAAGCCCCCCTTCACTGTAGCAAAGCCTTTAAAATGACAGTACAATATGACAGACAGTAGGGTGGGATGCCCTCTTGAGTCTCACACACTACAAGCAGCACACTGTCTGGTTACTTTGGGCAAAACTTTGACATTTTCTTGATGACACAGTGAAGTGAACTCACACACTGAAGCAGAGCGGTGATCCTCTTGCCCCTTGAAAGCACAGGAGATGGTGTCTCCTGGATAAAAGGAGTCTGTGTAAGTAGAAGTTTTCTGCGTTGTGTTTTTCTGTCCGTTCTTGAACCAGATGTAGGAAAGACGACCAGCTGGGCTGCAGCTGCTTTGACACTTCAGCTCCGCCTCAGTATAAGACTGATGGACTGATATTGTTCTGGTCACCTGCACCTGCAGAACTGGATATGAGAACACAAAGTAATGCCAAGAATCAAGATGTACTCACACATATAAACACACTTTCTCCATTTTACATCCTTCAATGCATTCATGTTCCTCAGATTGTGTTCACAGTACCTGTGACAGTCAGAATTGTTCCAGGTAAACTGCTCTTCCATTCAAACTCTTGTGTTTTGAATTTGAAGTGATACTCAGCTGAATCAGTGTCCTTCAGGTCTCTGATTGTCAGAGTGGAGCGTCCTCCATGTTCAGAGACCTGAACACGATCTGCATACTGAGAGTCTCTGCTGATGTCCTCAGGTTGTGAATAATGGCGCCATTGAGACCTGCGTCCAAGATTGAACCAGAACTTTGTCACAACATCATCTTCATGAACGTATGTGCAGGAAATGTCCACCGATGATCCTCTGAGGGCACAGATGCTTCTGTGGGTGTAAGTCACTCTGTTACAGGTTTGACCACGAACACCTAAAAGAAGATGACGATTTTGTAAAAAGCACTTTTAGCATCAATACAGATCAAGTGATACAGTTGTTTGGACACTGACAGCAGTAGTTGGACCAATGAAAGAACAGACAGGAGTTATGAGGACTCTTGTAATGAAAATACAAACAGTGATGGTACAGGGAATAAAATATAGAGAGTAGAAGACTAAACTCACACACTGAAGGAGACGGAAACTTCTCATGTCCTGTAACAGCACATGCAATGCTGTCTGAACGATCAAAGTATTTGGCAAAAAAAGGTGTTATTCTATGAAACTCCTGTCCATTCATGTACCAGATGTAGGAGTGATGATCAGGTAGATCACAACTGCTGCTACATTTCAACTTTTTCCAGGAAGGATACCACATTGACGTGTCTACCACCTGCACCCAGAGAGCTGTATGTGCAGAAAAAGAATATCATCAGAATGATTGTCCAACAGTAGCAGCAGCAGCTTTTATATTTGCAGTGACATATCTTCAAAACAAAGTCCTACCTGTGACAGACAGTCTGACTCCTGGTGAACCAATAGCTTTCCCTCCTGGTTGGTTTGTTCTGAACATGAACTTGTACTCAGCTGAGTCGCTCTTTCTCAGGTCTGTGATTCTCAGATTGCAGTAGTTCTCACCACAAAGATACTGCACACGATCTGTGAACTCTGCATCTGTCTTCACATCTACAGGCTCATCACGGTTCATCCTAGTAAACCACACAGCTTCTTNTGCTACAAAAACGCCGATGTCTTCCTCCTCTGCTACAGCGTGGTCCGCCCCTGCTCTTTTCGCAACCTGATCGAAAAATGGGTTCCTGAGATCCATCAGCACTGTCCCGACGCGCCCCTGGTCCTGGTTGGCACCCAGCTGGACCTGAGGGAAGACGTCCAGGTCCTGATCCACCTGGCACAGAACCAGGAGCGGCCGGTGGGCACCGAGGAGGGCCAGCGTCTGGCCCAGGAACTCGGGGCGGTGGGCTTCGCAGAGTGCTCGGCGCTGACCCAGAAGAACCTGAAGGACACTTTTGACTCAGCCATCCTGGCCAGCATCCAGCAGACGGACAGTCACAGCGCTGAGCAGCAGCAGCAGAGGCTGACTCTGAGGAAGAAGACCCCCGATAAGATCAAGAGCCTGTCGGAGACGTGGTGGAAGAAGATCAACTGTCTGATGGGAGAGCAGAGCTGTGAATTCAAATGAAAAGATGGACAACGGAAGAGTTCATTTGCACAAACAGATAACTCCGTCTTCACAAAGCTTCAGAAAACCCACTTCTCCATCGTCTCCCTGAGACGACATCAATCAAACTGAAGTTATCTCTGTTGTTGTCATTTCTACTGAGTCACATCCACTCAGCTTCAGTTTGATTGATGTGATCTCAAGCAAACAACAAAATAATAAGGCTTCTGAAAATCTACAGAAATGGAATTATCTGTTTATGCAAATGAACTCTTCAGTTACAAACCTGAGTCGGATCATATTTGCAAATACTCGGTAGTTTGGATTGATTTCGGCCAGAAGGTGCCAGATGGGTGAGGACCATGACCGCACAGGACCAAACAGGAAGTGAACAATAAACCTGAGCTACAAGGTGACGCACTGGGCTGTACCAGGTCGGGAGGTTCACAGGAAGATGAGCTGCATCATGGAGTAGAAACGTAAAATCCAGAGACGTACATGCTGAAGAGGAAAAGTTGCCTCCGTCTGTGTTGCATTAATGTTTGACGATTTGTTTGTGCGCAGTTCAAATTCAGTGGAGGATAAATTTAGCTTTGGGCTGGTTGATGTTGTGGCTGCTCTGGTCTGCAGGTTCTGGTGAGTCCAGGATCAGTTCAGCTCATTTGTTTAGTCTCTACAACAAAACAAAGGCACTCAGATAATAAAAACGGTCATTGAATGAAATGAACAGTGCTTCCTGCATCCTGGCTGGAACAGAGGATGAGCTTTGCTTCTGCTGGAATGTGAAGCTGAGAAACATCTCAGGATAAATTTTACAACCCCAGAAAACGTGAGAGTCTCTGTGTTCAGTAACTCGCTGAATTTGTCCTCGTGTTGTCAACCGTCACCCATCTGAGGCTCCAAACACTGGTTTGTTTGTCACTTTTACACCCCAACAGTATAAGTACTTTGACTGTTAGCTTGTAGATTATTTATTTATTTATTGTTTTATTTGCCATTCCTGATCATGAATGATGCTCAGAAGCCTTGATTAAAGTTTGTTACACCCGTGCATACGATTGCTTCTTTTATCAGTGTTGAGAATGTAAAAGTCGGTCAGATATGTGATGACGAAGCATCAGAAGCGTGGAAGTGAAGGTGTGTAAACTCTCTACGTCTTCTGCTCGTTATCGTTCACTGGACAAAAACGACATGTGGGAGGGTTAATGAGGATCAAGTGCTCTTGATTGTCTCATCGGCTCTCTGTTCCTTCCGATCAACTGCTGACTCCTCCAAACCGGGCTGCGCAGGAGGAACTTGCAGAAATCACGAAGCATCTTTACCTCAAGAATCAGTTTTGAAATCAAGCAGTCAGAGTCGGACCTTCACCTTCTGTAATCTCAGAGTAAGCCGAAGATCAACGCTGCACACAGCTTTGCTCTCCGCTTCAGAGTCGGCAGGGCGGAGGCTCCTCCGGCCGCGGCCTCCTCTAATAGGAGCAGACAGGACCACCTGGACTGGATTAGACCAGCATATGGAGGCTGATTCTCTCCCCACGGAGGCATCACATCTCCGGGAGCAGGAGAAACACACTGCTGCCCTTTCAAGGGTGGAACTAATTCTTATGGTCAACCTGTACGTAAAAGAAAAAATGCATCCACAGCACTTCATGAACCAAAGTTTCACAGGTTTTACACAAATGCTGCATTGATTTAAATTAATGTCCTGGAGACCTGCACGGACCTTCTACTAAACCCTTAAAGTTTCTATACATTGTGGGGACTCGTGTTTTGTCCTTGAAAAGGGGGACGAGTCCCCAAAATGGACAGTTTTCAGTAATATTCAGTAACACAATAATATTTATATCATGTAAAAATGGTGCCAGACCTTGTAATGAAACCAATAAAGTCAGGAGGAATTAAACATTCATAAATTAAGCTAGACTACAAAATTAGACTTTTTAATATCAGGATTAGAAATGTGGACTTAAAGGACACGTCACAAGTACTGTGACTTGAAACATAAAACATGGTTTGGCGAGGCCACATAGGGGTGTGTGACAGAAATGAATGAAGAAGAATTAAAACCAAAGTCACATAGAAAATGTATAATAATAGTAAGTGACACTAAATGCATTGGAGACTTCATAACAGTGACACATATCACCCCCTCAGTAACTTCAAATGAACAATATGAAGTTATTTTTTGAGCTGTTTGTCAAAAAATGAAATTAAAATGAATGCATATAATAAAAGGTCTATTTTTTTATAAATTTCCTTGACCTCATGCCATTTCTAACGTTCATCATTTTTAGCAGCAGATTGTCCAGAAGGATGTCAGGAGAGGAGCAGCTAGTCTACCAGGTGGCCTCTCTTACCCCGACCTACATTCCCCTGCAGACGCACCAACAGCTTGAGAGACTTTGTGGGCAGGTGTGATGTCTTCTCCGGGACATCTGGCTCCTGCTGATCGCCTCACGACTGTCACACACTGACACACCGTGGTTGTGTTTGACACGACCGACAACCTGCTATACACTATAAAACAGTTCATGTTTCCTCTATTTCCATTTGGTTTTATTTATTTCTGTATCCGCTAATGGCACAACTAGAAACTTATCTACGTATTTTGTGAGATGTACCTGTATGAATTAAATGTTTTGATACATCCCATTAAGGATGTGCTGTTTCCATACTAGCAGCCATGTGAGGTTGTAATGCTCATTAAACACCAGAAATGTTGGACAGAGCAACAACTTTGCTGCTTTTCAGTGAAATTAAATAAACATTTTGGCCTGAAGGTGGCACCAGAGGAGGCAACTTCTGAATGTGGACACTGAATTCAGTATCTCGATATATTAAAAAACAAAGCAAAAAACACCAGTTTTCATTTTAAAGACGCTTAACAACATCATTAGGCCGTACTATAAGTGACAGAAAATACTTTTCCGTTGGTTTCCTGTGTGAGGCAAAGCAAAGCAAACACAACAATTGTAAACACTCTTTTAAAGTTGAAAAATACCCACAGCGACAGTTCAGAATGGGCTGTGATGGCGAAGGTGTAAAATTACAAATATGAACATAATTATCTGACTTACACTAAACCAGGGGTGTCAAACTCTGGCCCGTGGGCCAAATTTGGCCCGCTTTGTAGTTATATTTGGCCCGCGAGACAATACCAAATGACTACTAGAGCTGCCCCTGGTATTATACTGTACAGCACATTCACCGCTAATACTACAAATCCCATAATGCCCTGCTGTTGTTTTGGTACGTCAATCAGGACAGGACCCAGAAACTCCCTCTCCTCTGAGACAGTAGGCATAGCGACTTCACACTACAACTGTCACTGTGCCATTGATGTGTTTTTTATTTAGAATTTGATTTTGCATGTCTCCACTATTAAGTTATATATAATGTCTGGTAATAAGCGTTGCTTGTTCCATGTTCAATGTTAAAGCTAAATTTGTTTCGGTCCATATTAAAAGGTTCATTTGTTCAATGTTGGCCCGCGACTTCGTTTAGGTTTTAAATTTTGGCCCACTGTGTTTTTGAGATTGACACCCCTGCACTAAACCATCATGACAATAACAAAACAGCAGTATTAGGAGATGCCGGCTTAACTTTCTGAGCATTTTGGAGAAGTTTGTGGTGCTGCTGAGTCACACTGAAGGCAGGTCAGGTCAGGGCAAGTTTTTGAATGTGACTCAAACAAAAACACTCAAGGATTCCAGGATTCAATGAGCTTTATTTGTCGTGCCGACTCACTTTCACATGTTTGTGGTACGAAATNCTCTGTGAAATGTTTTGCTTTCGGTTCAGCTTCTCTGCTCAGCATTTCTCAAATCTCACACAGTGGCTTTCATCCTAAACATCCTCTGTACAGGTCACAAAAAGAAGCTTGAATTCCAGCCAAGTGTTCTGCTACCTGCTGCTGCTGCCACTGACAACTGAACACTAAAATAATTTACAGTTCACTTCCATCACATCCTGCACAGCATCGTTCTCCTCTGTGATGTTTCACTGTCGTGCTAATTTCTGTTTCCATCTGGTGAGTCCAGTCTGGATTCTGTCTGCATCTGTAGAAAGTGAGACAATGTTTGGTGAGATGTTTTTTCCATAACTGTGAGCATACACTCTCTAAACGTTGACCACTTTCCCCTTCAGGTGTCTAAAACCTGCACCGGACTGTAGCTCACAGCAAGTTCTCAGGGATTATTATGACATTTTCATATCGACACCGATGTTTCCTGAAACTGTTCCTTGGTCCAGTTGACAGCTGCACTACGATATACCATGGGAGGGTGGAAAATGTGTTCAGGCAATGAAACGCTGATGATGCTGGAATCTGTTGCAACTGAATGTTGACAAATGGGAGGACAAACCTGCCACAATGAGATGAGAAACACAACGAATGCAGATGGTGCAGGCCAGTTGATTCTGAATTTATATCAAGATGACAAGTGGAAAAGTGACTTTCAAAGAGGGTTCCTTGTTAGGGCTCAGATGGCAGGAGCTTCAGTCACAAGGAGTGTTTAACTGGTATGTGTCTGAATAGGAACAATGACTGAAGGGAAATCTGCATTTAGATCTATGGCAAAGATCACAATAAGTTTCTGACGTTGGGGTCAGTGGTGCACGTTGGACAACTATGATGGTGCGCTTTAGTGCGATATGAAAGGAAAGCAGAGGAGCAACTT